GATGAATTAAAAGTAGGAGTTAAAATTTCAATCCACTCTAGGCTATATGTCCCGGATATGGAATCATACCAGATCTTACCATAAGAAAACAACTTCCCCGGTTCAGGTATAGCACAAATTTTAATAGTTTCCATTTGAAATGAGTTTCATACAAAAGATAATAAGACCATTACGGATAATGATTAGGTTAGAATGAGAACCACTATCAAGACTGCATAATAAGTGGAAGAAAAATTAAAAACTGTTGCTTGGGTGCATTCAATTGAGACAAAGCATTATCTTGCTTAGCAATCCAAAGTTCCACAAATCCCAAACAAAGTCAAAAAGGAGTTCCTATAGAAAATGATTTGTAACAATTTCATAGCGGCAATTGTTGTTCCAGATACAACTCAACCACGTCTTAATAGAGCAGCCAATGCAAATGTTTTGTTTGTATCGTAGTTGAGAACCCAACATAATGGATGTTGTGACGTATGAGATATGCACGTCATAGTATTTAGCAGAATTCATGCTAATATGTTTTTTGGAAAGTAACACAACTTAAAATAAGCAGAATATATAAGTCATTCAGAAGCTCACCGAGTGCCTAGCTGCCAATAGCTTTTGCAGAGCCCTCACATCAGCCTGAAAACCTGAAGAAGCCATCATGGATTTGTCCGCTCTGCCAGGTCAATAAAAGGGAGAAAAGAAATTAGATAAGAATGGTGAGAGTGTAAAACATCCTAAACTTAGAAATACACAGACATTAAGAAAACAGGCTATATTCATTAATTCATCCATATAGTATGTATGTCCCAACGTAGACATGTCCAGATCTTTTGAGTCAATTACTTTCAATTTTGACATAATCAAAGAGGAGAATTCATCGCATGAATTATGTGGGTGTGCATGTTCATGTTAAAAAAACAGCCAAATATCCTTTTGCAATTTTCATGAGTCAAAACATCCATAAACCAATCAGTCAATAGGGCAACCCGCAATGTAGATATGGATTGCAGCTAGCTATTGGACCACTGGCACATAGCTCTATGCATACAACTGATACAGTGAGATCATTAACCGAACTTGGCCATCTTAACTCAATTTTCCATTGCATTGCTTAGAGGCAATTAGTGGCACCGCAGAAACATTAACTCAATTTTGTCTCCTTCAATGAAAAATATTGGCTTGCTAATCACAATGGAGAAACATGTAACCAACCCCAAATAGTTGGGATAAAGGTTTTGTTGAGTTGAGTTGTATGATCAGTAAATATTTCTGAATGGTAGTACATACATATATATTTCTGAATGGTAGTACATACTTATATAATCAAATCCAAGAAAATTATATATGAGGAAAATGTAAATCTGGGAAACTTACCAATGTCGTTCTAAATAGGTTTCCAAGTTTCTTATAATAATTCAACTGTCCATGAGTTTCCAAATTCCGGCCATGTAACAAGTAAGAGTACGTGCTAGAATATACAGATCAATTCAGATTGAAGAATACCCAAAAAGAAACAAATAAGAAGGGGGACATAATCAAAAAGTCGTACAATTTACTAATTTTGGAGTAATCGCGAGTGAGGATACTGTAGCCCGTGGACATTCGAGTGTCAGCTGCAATCACACAGTAATCAGCTCCTGCGATAGCTACGCAAGTTCTGCATACATAAATTAACTTCAATAACTGTATACATATAATGAGAGAGACAGAAAAGGATTTGGAGCGTACCCTCCATTGTTGTCGTAAGGAGACCAGTTTGCTTGTTGTTTCGTCATGGTGATTCGAATCAGAGAGAGAGAGAGAGAGAGTCGGGCAAAATAACGTACTAAGATGCTGTTTCAGACTGTATATAATCTCCTTTTCTTTCCTCTCAAGAAATCGAGAAATCAGAGAACACAAGCCCTAGTTTTTCAATAAAATTTATGCTGGAATATGAGAACAAAGCTAAACGACGACGTGTAGCATTTTGAATGACACTTCGGACATCAAAACAGTTTAAACTTCTTAACTAATACCTCAAATTCTTACATAAAAAACCAACCCAAGAGTTAACTCAATCATCTGATTAATCTTTTACGAAACCTAAATCCTTAAGACCACCGTCCACATTATTAGTCTTTAAATAGAGAGGTTATTTTGTATAATCCTTATTTACTCTTAATGTCTCGCACATGATTGTTTATTGAACAAAAATGTAAGATATAACTATAGCCACTCTAGCCCAACCTAGAAAATAATACCATAAACAACCCATGAATGATGATATAAAATATGCTATTTTGATGACTTTGAAGCTTTCTAAAAATATTTCTTTATGACCATGAGGAAAGTTGTGAACAATCTGTGTGGGAAGTCAAGAAACAGATGCATTTTTTTTTTTTTGATCATAACAGTGGATGGATTAAAATAAGTATCAAATGGTCCCTGATAGGTTACATGGGCATCTTTATGGCAGAATAGTGATCACTATGAAACAAAGACACATACAAACCAAATCTCAAATTCAAATTATTTGAGCATCATTATAATTGGCCTTTCGAAGGTTTCATACAGTAATCGAGAATCGTCCCAATAACGTATTCATGTGATTGTTGATTGAATTCAAAATGTGTTTAGATGTGTGTCAATTACGATATCTCTTGCAAAACCCGAATATTAGAGTAAAAAAAACTAACCATTGAAAACCTATTATTTGAGTTTACGAGTTATTTGAAAATGAGTCAAGAATAAAAATAACAATTATAATAAAAAAAAAAACTTGGTTCAATTATTGAGGGTGTTCGGATCAGTTTATCCACACTTCGACTAATTCCTTTCGCGATCCAGTCAAAAAAAAAAACCATTTATGCCAGGATTAGGTATTCATAAGAGATAAATCTCTCATGATCTAACCCTAAAAAATTATCAAAATTCAAATTCATGACATCTAAATTTATAACTAATTCATCTTGTCATTTAAACTATCATTGGATCGACAATGTAAAAAATGTATTCAAGTTGATGAAAATCNTGATCTAACCCTAAAAAATTATCAAAATTCAAATTCATGACATCTAAATTTATAACTAATTCATCTTGCCATTTAAACTATCATTGGATCGACAATGTAGAAAATGTATTCAAGTTGATGAAAATCTAAAGGCTTGAATTTCTATTATCTCTTTGTTGTACATATACAAAGACTTTAAATAGACTTTGAATAGGACTGTAAATGTTATCCTACTTAGTTGCCTATACAACGTATGTATTCAAAATTAAAAAGTTGTTAGCTATACTCCTAAACAAGTGGAGTTTGTTGAGGTGTTTTAAACTCCTTAGAGGAGTCTTCTCCGGTCAAATAACATAATAACTGACTTGACTACTGTATTTAATGTCATGTCATTTAAACTTTAAATTTAATCTTAAAATTTGAACAACGTAACATTACAAAACCAAGATTCTTCGGATAAGATGAACATGCCGGCATGGTAGCGTTCNAAGTTGTTAGCTATACTCCTAAACAAGTGGAGTTTGTTGAGGTGTTTTAAACTCCTTCCTCTTCTCCGGTCAAATGACATAATAACTGATTTGACTTCTGTATTTAATGTCATGTCATTAAAATTTTAAATTTAATCTTAAAATTTGAACAACGTAACATTACACAACCAAGATTCTTCGGATAAGATGAACATGCCGGCATGATAGCGTTANAATTTAATCTTAAAATTTGAACAACGTAACATTACAAAACCAAGATTCTTCGGATAAGATGAACATGCCGGCATGGTAGCGTTCAAAAAGTCACTCCCTTATCTCACATCAAGGGGCATCTTGACTCATCTTGTAATGCAAAATGTGCATGTCATACTTATCATAGACCTGAATTTTGCAATTTGTTTGACCCAATCTCCTTGACTATAGGCAGTTTCTTGTCATGGTGCCATTAGCATTTACTGGCTAATAGAAATTGTAAAAATGAAATAAAATAAAATAAAAATCTATTCTCGGTCTTCGCTTTGTCACCATCACGATGATACAATTTTTTCAACGGTACTTACTTTTTCTTGGCACGACGGTGTTAAGATTCATTAGAGAAAACTAACACATACATTGATGGTGAAGGAATTTCAATTTAATATGTAGAAATATCTGACTCCTTCTGGACGGTTTTCCGAGCTGGTCTTCTCGCAAGTCTTTAATTATAATAAGAAGGTGTAAGAGAGGGCCTAGTTCTTTAGTTTTTGGGTAATTTACACATTGGTCTCTAAACTATGACATTTTGTTTACTTTGTCCTCCCAATTGTTATAGTTTTCACATTACACCCTCAACTATGTGATTAATTTTACATTGTCTCAATTATTAACTTATGTTACATATTTAGCGAAAAATTATTTCATTTGACCCCTGAACAATGTAATTGTTTTTTACTTTATCCTGACACGTTTGCAATTTTCGTATAAAAAGGTAACGGACGTTTGTGATTGAGATAATATGAAATAATCAAAGTAGTTGAGAGGGTAATTTGAAACTTTCAATAATTGAAGAGACAAAGTGCAAAAGATGTCATAATTGAAGGAGTCAAAGGATAAGTTTAGTTTTCTGTGGTTCTAGTTCTAGTTTACTATGACCATTATCTCAACAAATGGAAGAGTTGGTAAGCCATTTTCTTTGCCTTGATGACAAGTATTATTGGAGTAAAAATGTCAACAAACTAAATCCTAAAAAAATCAGAATTTCACCAATAGTAGGAGGGATACTCAATTCCAAAGATGTTGATTCTTGAATTCAAACCCGCACCTTAGTGCTACTTTGATAGATAAGTACTTATTATCGTTCTATAAATGATCCCTCGCCGGCTGGTCACAAATGACTGTTAATGGCAGACTGTAAAGTAATCCCTTAACAAGGTCACATAACTTGACTTTAGAACTTTAGTTTCATGTTGTTCTAAGAAACTGAATGGATATTGGATGAGAGGACACACTGCAATAGACTGTACTTATATGATACATTTAGTTGTTTTTACATTAAGTGATAGTACAGATACATTCAACTGGCTCATGCTCATTGGCTCGAGTCGCAGAATTTTTCATAAAAACCCCTTACCCCCACTGAAAAAAAAGGGAAAAGATAAGAAGGAATAAAGAAAAGAGAAAAAAACCATATATTATCCAGTCAATACAACAGCAAACTGCATGTACAACGTCTTTGGAGCTAGGCAGCAACTGAAAATTGCAGTTCAGCTGCTTCAATGTAGAGCTGCTTATCATTGAGCTTCTCCTCCGTCCATTTCTGGTTGTTCTTGGCTATAAAATCTTCGATTCTCTTGCTCAGATCATCGTCTTCCTCTTCGCCATATTCACTGTCGTCATCATCTTTATCAAGATCGTCATCGTTATCTTCATCATAACCATCATAACCATGATAGTACTCATCGTTGCTATCATCATGATGGTCATCTTCTGTATATCCTACATATACTAAACGGGGAAGAAAATCATTGTTGTCATCAATATGATCTTTCATGCTATCATCATGATGGTCATCTTTGATCTTTTCTTCTGTATATCCTACATATACTAAACGGGGAAGAAAATCATTGTTGTCATCAATATGATCTTTCATGCTTTCAACTGCATATTCTCCTGCATATAATGGAAATGGCTGCTCCGCACATATGGGTAAGGCTAAGTTCATCTCATCCTTCTCAAATCCTGCAGTAACAAGGGTCCCATGCATCGGAATGGTATATTGTATTGCTTGTACACTCCTCATCAGGATGGCTATAACAACAACGTTAAAAGTGAGAAACACAACCAAATGGCTAGATTTTTTCATGGAGAAAAACTCAGAAACAGAAAGGGTATGATGTTGAGAAACCGAGAGTGATAGAGAGGATAAAAAGAAGATTGAACAGATAGTTATGCACAAAAGAAGTAATATAAGCGTAGGCACTGAAACTATCTTCATGCGCTGCTTCTGTACTTGGAAGAATTCTGATACTCACTGTCGGTCTTTTAATGTAAAGCAATAACTGTTGGGGAAGCTTTATATGTGGTCCTATCGATGATTTCTCCGATAAAAAAGGCTCAGGGATTTTTTGGGAAAGTTACAGAGTCCACTTGTAGAAGGGAATGACTTTATCGTCAATATAATAAAGTATAAGGTCCCCACGGCCCCACCTCCGTCACCACTGCCACCTCCACCATCTCTATCTCAACAACCATCACCACCTTTGCGCCAACAATAACCAGCACCGTCGTCGTTGTCACCATTGCCGCCACTGTTGGAAAAATAGGTTTTCCCACAAGTATAAATCAATGGAAACAATATAAATAAAATAACAGAAAATAAATAAGCACACAAGATTTACGTGGTTCCCTCAAATAACTTGAGGTACATCCACGACGACCGGTAGGTCAGTTTCTTCCACTATCACCAAATCAGATTACAAAGTGGCCAAAAGGCATAAGCCTTACAAACACACCAAGGTGTAAATCACAAGAGGAAAATACCTCACAAAATAAGTGAACCAAATCTCCAAGAACAAACCGCAAGAAACCCAAATATCAAGTGAAGAAATGTTACCCACTTGAAGAACAAATTTGCAGATTTTTCTGGCACCAAAAAGGAGAAGAAGAAGGCTGAATTTTTGTTGAACCAAAGACTGCCGAAAATATGTCTTCTTGCCAAACCAACAGAGAAGAGATGAACCAAAGAAAAGGACAAAACTTATAGTCTTTGGTGGCTGCCAAATTCCTTTTAACTTGAAGACTCCAAACCAAGTCTTGGATAAGAGTCATACACGGGTAAGCCACCAAAAAATTAGCAAATTGATGAGTCCCACAAAGGAGGGAAACCCAACAATTCTCCCCCTCCCGACTTATGTGGAGGATTCGACCATTCCCGCCAAAAGTCGACACTTCTCATGCTTGTCCTTAGTCAATGCCTTAGTTAACATATCCGAAGTGTGTTCATGTTTGAAATTAAAAGTTTGGGTAAATTAATAAGAGCAATTTACATTCGCAAACCTCTACCTGCCACAGAACTATCTAAGTCTCTGTTTTTATATATATATACGAAGACAATCTTGCGTCTTTTTGACTTATGATTAAAACGTAAATCTCTGATACACGGTGTTCACAATCCAAAACCGCATGTCAAGTTATGTTTGATAGAATTGTATTTGCGAGGTGAAAGGATGTAGGCCAATGTTTGATTGTGGAAGAATTGTTTGGAGCATGATTGTTATGCACCCCTTTAGTCGTGGTGCATGTGATCTCTTCTTGGTGGTTGGATATAAAGGCTGGTTAAGGTCACAATTACATGGTGTAAACTTGAAGCTTTGAGCTGGCATTAGCAGGATGTAAATCCACACATTCATTCCCTCTCTCTCTCTTTCTCTCTCTCTCTCTCACACACACACACACTTACAGAGAGAGAGTCCTATTCTTGTATTCCTAAGAAGATGACTGGTGACCTTTTTTTTAAGTATTTATTAATAGAAGAAATGAGGGTACAGAAGAAACTGTGGACCACGATGTGGTGTATTGGGGGAACAGTTTCATGTTTTGCTGAAATCTAGAACTTTGATCGACTCACTTATGATATGGTCGGCGTACTCTACAATGCTGGTGGGGTTACGGTGCTCCCAACTTTTTCTTGCAAGCTCTACCTTGGATCTTGCTGTTATTAAGGAAATGGTCGGCCTGCTTATTTAATGGTCACATACAGTTTGTCACTCAATAGTATATTGATTTTTTCTTTTTTGGTATTTCGGCACACCTCTTCGGTCAGATCAAATCATCTGTGATTAGACTAAGAAATTCATGAGAAATAATATAGAACTTATATAACAATCCCCTCACTGGTCGTTCAATGTTAGGACACATTGTGTCTCCGATGCACAATTCATTAAGTTCCGGAATTCGGTCCCAATAATATTGTTGTGCTTATATTTGTTGAACTACCAATCAAACTTAAATGGTTAAGCACATGCATTTCTTTTAATAACCAGGGTAGTGAAGAAATTTGATTCTCCTAATACCATCTTAAATTATCAACTCAAGGAATTAGAATTATATGCGGCAGGAAAAGACACAGAGCGTTTTGGCTAGTAGTTTTATTAGTCAATTATACTTACTGACTATTTTTGCGTTGACTGAACTTGCTTCGTAGACAACGCTCGTTTCATAGTACGCTTTGGGAGAAGTCAAAGTCCAATTCCCTTTGATCCAAAAATCTAGTTTTGATTCAAATATAAACTGGTAGTAATGAATGTGCAAATTGAGTGTTTATTTCTTGGATAATTGGAGAAAGAGTAGATCTCTAACAGTTTGAAAAATATTACAGTTTCATTTCTCTTATTCAAACTGGCATTTTAGGTGGTGAATCTACAAGCAGAACTCACATACTTACAAGCTCATCTTGCAACCCTAGAGCTTCCAACTCCGCCACCTCCTCCACCACCTCAGCCACTACTAACACCGCCTCCCTTCTCAATATCAGACCTCCCAACAGCTTCCTGCTTGCCTGCAACATACGACTTATCTGCACTCTTTGATCCAATGGGGCAACCTTCATGGGCAATGCAGCAGCGGCAAATGGATCCACGCAACTTTGGCTGCACCAGTACTAGAGCTTCCGGTGAGATGTCGTCTCCAGCTGCCAGTGGCGGTGGTGATGGTGGTGGTGGTGGCGGAGATCTCCAAGAACTGGCACGTGAACTTCTACATAGACAAGGGTCTCCACCAGTGCCATGCAGTGAAGCATCACATTTGTTACCCCATACCAAATGAGACTGACCTGTTTAACTAGCTCTTGCCCTTGGATACAAGATGATAAAGTTTCAACTGAGGGGTAAAGTTTAATTTTTTTTTATTCTGATGGGGCAAGTAATTGAAATAACTGATCTTTTGTTTATTTATTTATTTTTGTTACTTTCTTTACTCCATTAACGCTGATGAAATTCAATATTAGATTATACATGAAGGCATGAATTATGTTTTTTTTTGGAATAAAAGATTATGATGTGGATGTCTTGTATTTTGCATAGATTTGCAATCGATCTACACATGAATTATGTTTTTTTTTTAAAGAAAAGATTATACTGTAAATATCTTGTATTTTGCATAGATTCTCAATTGATCGATTGAGAATTTGTTGGGTGTTCTTAGGGATATATGAGTGTTTTGGCAGAATATATGTTACATTTTATTGTTGAGTAATTGATGCACATGTCACGAGAATTGGCGAAGGGATCTACCAGGATACTCTCCACCGAAGAGAGGTCTGCAAAGAGTGACATTCGAAAGTCTTAAGTAGTGGCATTCAAGCGGCAAACAGACCTGACGAATTTTCAAACTCTTTGGAGTTGCACTAGCTTTTATTTTACTGAACTTTTCCTTGTCTTAATCGCTTATATTGAATTTTTGTCACGTTACATCGTCCATGGACATGGTTAGCTAGGCTTTTGAACCACACCACATAATCTTGTTTGTTTTTACTACATGCTGGAAATCAGAATCTACAGTTTTTTAGATTGGTCAACTTATCTACCTTTTGAGCTTGATTACAGGCTATTGATNTTGTGTTTTCTCTATTTTGTTTTTACTACATGCTGGAAATCAGAATCTACAGTTTTTTAGATTGGTCAACTTATCTACCTTNAAATTCTAATATACGACAATCCGACTCATAACCAATCCGTTGATAGGCCTAATAATGAATGAGCCATAAACCATAGCCCATGACCTTATCCTCTTTAATCAAATTCGAATTCGGATATTTGACAATTCGGTTCATAACCAATCCGTTGATAGTGTAATAATGGGTCATAAACCATTTCCCATGACCTCNCTTATCTACCTTTTGAGCTTGATTACAGGCTATTGATTCCTAAAAGAAGAAAGACAGTGTCAAGATATTAATTTACCAGTAGTTATCCGTGTTTAAAGATACGGAGGAATATAAAAATTAATATATTATGCAAAAAATTCACTTCTGCACAATAATTTAAAATTGAAGATAAAAAATATCCGCACTTTTAAATGAAAAACGAAAAGAACNTTATCGTCTAGTGGGTTAATGGGCCAACCGGTGGATCACGACCATTTGCCTATCCTTACCGTAGTCCTTTTAGGGGTCAAATGTGGCCATTTTAGTCAATTTATAAATATAATCGTAAAACTTAGACTTTGGATCTTAGAAATTAAAAAAAACAATCCCCAAACGCGATCCAGAGCNACCATATCGTAATCATACTATAAAAGGTTAAACCAAAAGAAAAAAAAAAAGACCGTGAAAGAGTTAAAGTAGAAAACATGTCAAAAATATAAACCATATGTTTAAGGTATTTGAGTTGTTAGTATTAATGAGGCAATCAAGTTTTACTGAAATTTATATAAGTCACTTCTGATATTTAAATCAATTTCTAATTCAATGCTAATGAAAGTTATTACCCAAAAAAATATAAATTAAAAAAGATATTCAAACTCCAAAAAACTAAAATAAATCTATATAAATGTGGACAAATCTTAACAACATCACCCACAATTAGAACAACAATCAACGTGTTTCGTGAATACAACTAATCAAAGAAAGCAAAACAATGTTGTCACAACCATCATTATCTTATCAATCACCATTTCTCCAATCGATACTTCCAAAGAGGGGCTATTGGTACACAGTTGTGGCGTGAGATATATTGACAAAGAGAACTTGTTTGATTTTTGGTGCAGCTTAGCTTGGAGAAGCATGACATAGAAGAGTTTGGAATGGACTTGTTGGAGTTGTTAGAGTGAGTGTAAGCAAAAATGAGGGTGGTCCTTAGTACTGTGTTTTTTTGGGGCATTTAGTCGAACAGTTGATTTTGGTTTGGGTCTGGGGTCATGTCTAGGTTTGAGGTCTAAGCAAGTCAAGGTCAGGTACAGTTTCGAGGTCCGGGTTGAGTCTAGATTTGGGGTCGGTTCTGGGCCTGATGTCGGTATCTAGTCTGGGACCCGAGGTGGGGTGGGGTTGGGGGTCGAGTCCACGGTCAGGGTCCGAGTGTAGTGTATATTTTGGTATATTAATATGTTTGCTATTAAAACGATCTTTAGTCATTGAATCAGCAGTAAAAAATTATAAAATGATATGAACAACGAAAAATAAATGTCATTTTTTTTTTTGGAATTTAAAATGTCTTATACTTTATTGTATAAATAATTTCCTACTGTTAAGATTAATCAATCTCGAAGAAAAAGGAAAAAAAATTTAATTGCGTTATAGTCAACTTGTCTCTTGATACAGGATAGAGGTATCAAACTATAACACAAATCTTTAACACAATAAAAATATGACACTAAATTAGAGGATTTAGGTTTTATTTAAGTCACTCGTTTCATAAATTGGTGAACTCGACACAATTAATAAACGAATTGGTATGAGTGAAGATAATCAAANTATGACACTAAATTAGAGGATTTAGGTTTTATTTAAGTCACTCGTTTCATAAATTGGTGAACTCGACACAATTAATAAACGAATTGATATGAGTGAAGATAATCAAAAAAATTACATAACTCGACTCGTTTATATATCGGTTATATGCCCGCTAAAAACTCGAGACGAGTTCGTCTCACGCGACATGTTTGACAGACATAATATAAATGCCCATGTTGTTTAATTTAGTTTTCATTGATCGAAATATTAATATATTTTTCTCTGAAATATGAAATAAAAAATTATACCAATTGATAATATTCCATTTAATGTACAAGAAAAAACATGCCGAGTAAATAAGAGATCTTATTATAAAGCCCATCTTGTGACATATTTTCCCATCACTAAGCAATATAATTTTAAGTTACTTTTGTAGCATACTCACATCATTTAATGCTGAATCAAGTTGCTGCCTATCAGTTATCATGACATGACACAAACTTAAAGAAAAGAAAAGGAAAAGGAAAAAGAAAACATAAAACATTTTCATTCATTTTATCTTGTTTCTCTGTTTCATCCAAAAACCCAGACATAGACATGTTAGAAGATTGACAGATTTTTACTCTTCGCAACGTTCGTCTATAATTGAACGAGCAATTTTATTGAAATTTAATTTATTGATTTAATTTACTATGATCTTTTGATTGACTGTGGAGCCCATCAAATATTAAAATTTGGTATTGATCTAATAATTTTATTAAAACCACATCATTATATCAATAAATTAAATCAAATTTTTATATCTAAATATTATTACTCTAATCGGACAATTCAACGACTAAAAAATTCTTGAAAAATAGATGTTTCAGTATTGGAAGATGCACGTGACGTGAAAAGCACGAGTTATTGAACAATCAAATTCCTTATCCCCGGAAAGCTTTAAAAGTTAGGGCTATTTCAATAGCTTGGTTCGAGCCAGGCCCACCTCTTGTCACCACAATGCGGGTCAACCCAATAGGTCATTTTGTTTGGGATTGGCTGGCCCAAGTTTTTATTGGATTTGAGTCCTACTTGAAACATCGTTGTTAGGCTTCTTGCTCACTCACATATCTCGACAGTTTGGTAAGCCCATCGAGGGGGTTCGTATCACCCTAATGTTTTGTTGATAAGGAGGATAGAAAGTAAGAAAAATAAAAAATATGAGCTATATACTTTCTATTTTTCAATGACGGAAAGTAGGAATGATACACTTTTTTTTTTTTTTGTGTTTGAATGGATGGATGAAAAATAAAAATGATAAAATTTTTTTTTTTTTTTGTGTTGGCTAAGATTAGGGGTGACAATAGAGTCGAGTCGTGTCGTGTTAGATACGTATTGAGTTATTACGAGTTTGTGTTGAATATTAATCAAATTTAACTTAACTCATTTAACTAATTGTATCGTGTCGAGTTGCGAGTTGATCTATTTATTTTCGTATTGAGTTTGAGTCGTGTCATCGTGTTGAGTCGAAAATTTTTACTCTTAGTTAAGATGAATTTTTTTTTTATATTTTTTAAAAAATTTTAAATTTTTAAAAATATATATACATATTTTACCATTGTATTTTTATATGAAATTAATGTATACATAAGATATATAGACAAATAAGATACATCTTAATACAAATAATTAACTTTTCATCCACTTTCCTTCTGATTTTGCAGGGATTGATTTTGGTGAGTTGAAAGGAAAGTTAATTCATCTTCTTTTCCATCCTTCTTATATTCTTTCCTTACCAAATATGATATTTTATTTATCTTTCCAACTTTTCATCCTCTCATTTTTCCATCGTACTAAACGGAGCATAAATAATTGATTCAAAGCTTCAAATCTGTCTTACTTAACGTATGCAATGCAAGTGGGACAATAAATTATGTTTTTAGGGGTGAAAAAGTAATCTCAAATAGACTTTATTTTTTAAATAGTCAAATTTAATTCTCTAAATTGGAAGAATCAAATTTATTTTATAATCTATTTTTTTCAAACAGAAAAATAATGTATCTGTCTTTTCGACCAAAAAATTTAGAATAATTCTCTCTCTCATGACTCTCCTTATCTTAGTCTCGAAATGGGATTTTTTGAAGAAACAAAGTACACAACATCAAGCTTGTATATAAAAATAAATTTTACAAGTGTTTGTCTTGATTGATTCTCCATTGCTGCCATTCCACGAGATGCAAGAAATATGGAAAGGGGCTGATACAGAATGGAACAACACATGACAAGGGGGTTGGAACGAAATTATGGGAAACGGTGGGTAAATAAAATATTTAAAGTTTGGTAAAAGAATAGAGGAAAAAAAAGTAGGAAGCTAAATTTATTCCTAAAAAAAAAAAAAATTTAAAATAGTAAAAATAAAATGACCTATTGGAATGGTATATACATTTTTTTTTTCTCTATTTTAAATTTTGGATAAACATGCTCTTTATTTTGAAAAAGATGTTGTCAATTTTAAAGAGAATTATCGAATATGTTCTAAGAACCAATCATGGATAATTTTTGCTCTATATAATGGGTAAACCTATCAAGAGACCAGATTTTAACTTTTTTAAAGGGGTATAGATCATATTTTCAAGCTATTAATCCTATTCAATTCGAATCCGATTAGAATTATCTAAATGGATTCAGATATAAATTTATAATAATTCTATCCAAATAACAAATATATTATATAAATAAATATCACACATATATCATATTTATATTACAAAACAAATAAAAATAAAAGTGAATATTACAATGTAAGACCCATTTTTCTATTTTTATTTTGTTTCCCTCTCTTATCTAATTTTTCCTCCTTTTTTTTGTTCATTATCTAAATTCTTATTGTTAATTTTTTTGTGTATATTTACCTTTTTTGTGATAATCAGATTGGATTGGGCATCTGAAAATTAATGAATTCGGACACGGATTAAATTTTAAAAATTCGTCGGATAATTGAATTGGATCGAATGAACAAAAATTTAATGAAATTCAAATTCTAATATACGACAATCCGACTCATAACCAATCCGTTGATAGGCCTAATAATGAATGAGCCATAAACCATAGCCCATGACCTTATCCTCTTTAATCAAATTCGAATTCGGATATTTGACAATTCGGTTCATAACCAATCCGTTGATAGTGTAATAATGGGTCATAAACCATTTCCCATGACCTCATCGTCTAGTGGGTTAATGGGCCAACCGGTGGATCACGACCATTTGCCTATCCTTACCGTAGTCCTTTTGGGGGTCAAATGTGGCCATTTTAGTCAATTTATAAATATAATCGTAAACCTTAGACTTTGGATCTTAGAAATTAAAAAAAACAATCCCCAAACGCGATCCAGAGCGTCTCCGATATCTTCCCTCTCTCTCTCTCTCTCTCTCTCTCTCTCTCTCTCCGAGCACACTTCAAACACTTTCCGAACACACTCAGATCCACCGTGCTCTTCCACTGATCCACCCACTCTCAACCGCCACAATCGACCACCAAACCACCTACTTTGATGCTCCTCCGCCATTGTGAATAATCCTTCTTCTCGGTCCAGATCTAGTCGAGCATCCACCGCCGGGAATGGCTTCTTCGGAAGCTGATTCCCGTTTGAATCAAGTACTCATCCCCGCCCTCGACAAGATCATCAAGAATGGCTCATGGCGCAAACACTCCAAGCTCGTCCACCAAGCAAAATCGGTTCTTGAAAGATTAAACTCGCCGGAAAAGCCACAGACTCCGATTTCGCCGGACCAATCGGAACTCGACACCTCATCACTTCCCGGCGTACTCGGACCCTCCGACATCTCTCTTGCTGACTCTGAATTCATCCTCACCCCTTTCATCAACGCCTGCTCCTCTAACAACCTCAAGATCGCCGAACCCGCCCTCGATGCCATCCAAAAGCTAATCGCCCACGGCTATCTCCACGGCGAAGCTGATCCCACTGGTGGCCCCGAGGCCCAATTCCTCTCCAAATTGATCGAATCTGTGTGTAAATGCCAAGAATTGAATGATGAAGCCGTTGAATTGTTACTCCTCAAGACGATTTTATCCGCGGTAACCTCCGTTTCTTTACGGATTCACGGAGATTGTTTACTGCAAATTGTGAGGACTGGCTATGATATTTATCTAGCCAGTAAAAACGTGGTGAATCAGACCACAGCGAAGGCGTCGTTGATCCAAATGTTGGTAATTGTTTTTCGGAGAATGGAGGCTGATTCCTCTACTGTGCCAGTACAGCCGATAGTGGTGGCGGAGCTAATGGAGCCAACTGAGAAGGCTGAAGTGGACGGTAACATGACTGTGTTTGTTCAGGGGTTCATTTCCAAGATTATTCAGGATATTGATGGAGTTATTAACCCGAGTACACCGCGAAAAGGGTTGGAACATGATGGGGCTTTTGAGACAATGACGAGAAGTGGGACTGTGGAGAGTNAATCAAATTTATTTTATAATCTATTTTTTTCAAACAGAAAAATAATGTATCTGTCTTTTCGACCAAAAAATTTAGAATAATTCTCTCTCTCATGACTCTCCTTATCTTAGTCTCGAAATGGGATTTTTTGAAGAAACAAAGTACACAACATCAAGCTTGTATATAAAAATAAATTTTACAAGTGTTTGTCTTGATTGATTCTCCATTGCTGCCATTCCACGAGATGCAAGAAATATGGAAAGGGGCTGATACGGAATGGAACAACACATGACAAGGGGGTTGGAACGAAATTATGGGAAACGGTGGGTAAATAAAATATTTAAAGTTTGGTAAAAGAATAGAGGAAAAAAAAGTAGGAAGCTAAATTTATTCCTAAAAAAAAAAAATTTAAAATAGTAAAAATAAAATGACCTATTGGAATGATATATACATTTTTTTTCTCTATTTTAAATTTTGGATAAACATGCTCTTTATTTTGAAAAAGATGTTGTCAATTTTAAAGAGAATTATCGAATATGTTCTAAGAACCAATCATGGATAATTTTTGCTCTATATAATGGGTAAACCTATCAAGAGACCAGATTTTAACTTTTTTAAAGGGGTATAGATCATATTTTCAAGCTATTAATCCTATTCAATTCGAATCCGATTAGAATTATCTAAATGGATTCAGATATAAATTTATAATAATTCTATCCAAATAACAAATATATTATATAAATAAATATCACACATATATCATATTTATATTACAAAACAAATAAAAATAAAAGTGAATATTACAATGTAAGACCCATTTTTCTATTTTTATTTTGTTTCCCTCTCTTATCTAATTTTTCCTCTTTTTTTTTGTTCATTATCTAAATTCTTATTGTTAATTTTTTTGTGTATATTTACCTTTTTTGTGATAATCAGATTGGATTGGGCATCTGAAAATTAATGAATTCGGACACGGATTAAATTTTAAAAATTCGTCGGATAATTGAATTGGATCGAATGAACAAAAATTTAATGAAATTCAAATTCTAATATACGACAATCCGACTCATAACCAATCCGTTGATAGGCCTAATAATGAATGAGCCATAAACCATAGCCCATGACCTTATCCTCTTTAATCAAATTCGAATTCGGATATTTGACAATTCGGTTCATAACCAATCCGTTGATAGTGTAATAATGGGTCATAAACCATTTCCCATGACCTCATCGTCTAGTGGGTTAATGGGCCAACCGGTGGATCACGACCATTTGCCTATCCTTACCGTAGTCCTTTTAGGGGTCAAATGTGGCCATTTTAGTCAATTTATAAATATAATCGTAAAACTTAGACTTTGGATCTTAGAAATTAAAAAAAACAATCCCCAAACGCGATCCAGAGCGTCTCCGATATCTTCCCTCTCTCTCTCTCTCTCTCTCTGAGCACACTTCAAACACTTTCCGATCACACTCAGATCCACCGTGCTCTTCCACTGATCCACCCACTCTCAACCGCCACAATCGACCACCAAACCACCTACTTTGATGCTCCTCCGCCATTGTGAATAATCCTTCTTCTCGGTCCAGATCTAGTCGAGCATCCACCGCCGGGAATGGCTTCTTCGGAAGCTGATTCCCGTTTGAATCAAGTACTCATCCCCGCCCTCGACAAGATCATCAAGAATGGCTCATGGCGCAAACACTCCAAGCTCGTCCACCAAGCAAAATCGGTTCTTGAAAGATTAAACTCGCCGGAAAAGCCACAGACTCCGATTTCGCCGGACCAATCGGAACTCGACACCTCATCACTTCCCGGCGTACTCGGACCCTCCGACATCTCTCTTGCTGACTCTGAATTCATCCTCACCCCTTTCATCAACGCCTGCTCCTCTAACAACCTCAAGATCGCCGAACCCGCCCTCGATGCCATCCAAAAGCTAATCGCCCACGGCTATCTCCACGGCGAAGCTGATCCCACTGGTGGCCCCGAGGCCCAATTCCTCTCCAAATTGATCGAATCTGTGTGTAAATGCCAAGAATTGAATGATGAAGCCGTTGAATTGTTACTCCTCAAGACGATTTTATCCGCGGTAACCTCCGTTTCTTTACGGATTCACGGAGATTGTTTACTGCAAATTGTGAGGACTGGCTATGATATTTATCTAGCCAGTAAAAACGTGGTGAATCAGACCACAGCGAAGGCGTCGTTGATCCAAATGTTGGTAATTGTTTTTCGGAGAATGGAGGCTGATTCCTCTACTGTGCCAGTACAGCCGATAGTGGTGGCGGAGCTAATGGAGCCAACTGAGAAGGCTGAAGTGGACGGTAACATGACTGTGTTTGTTCAGGGGTTCATTTCCAAGATTATTCAGGATATTGATGGAGTTATTAACCCGAGTACACCGCGAAAAGGGTTGGAACATGATGGGGCTTTTGAGACAATGACGAGAAGTGGGACTGTGGAGAGTACAAATCCGGCGGATTTATTGGATTCAACGGATAAAGATATGTTGGACGCAAAGTACTGGGAGATCAGTATGTATAAGACGGCGTTGGAGGGTAGAAAAGGGGAATTGGCAGACGGGGAGATGGAGAGGGATGAGGATTTGGAGGTTCAGATTGGGAATAAGTTAAGAAGGGATGCTTTTTTGGTGTTTCGGGCGCTGTGCAAATTGTCGATGAAGACACCTCCCAAAGAGGCGTTGGCTGATCCTCAACTGATGAGGGGAAAGATTGTGGCTTTAGAATTGCTCAAGATTTTGTTGGAGAATGCCGGGGCAGTCTTTAGGACAAGCGAGAGGTACTTCATTTATACTTAAATTGTGTACCATGAGCTACATTTGCTAAATGGTGCTACTTTGTGTAGATTTTATTAGTTGGTTGGTTGTTTATGCTCATTATGCAAGTATGCAGCAATTTTTGTTTCATAATTGTGTGTCACCGTAGTTTTGAGGTACAGCTTCTGGATGGTGCTACTTTGTGGAAGTTTTATCAGTTATTTGCTCGTTTATACTCACTATGCAAGTATGTACTAATTTGGGTTTCTTTTTGTAAAAGGTATGGGAATTTCCTTTGGCAGACTAGCTAGGATTGTCTAGGACAAAATTCCTTGCTTGGTGCGCTTTACTGTCTGTCCTTATTTTAATGACGAATACTAAATCTATACATCTGATATGTGAAGAATTCTTTATCCACTATTATTGGACAAATTGGCTTGTATGGCAGAACTTGATTTATCTGTGAAAGGATATGTAGATACTATTGTGAGGTTCGACTAACCTTGTCATGGTTGAGAGTTTTCAAGAATTTAAGTTTCGGATATGTTTTATACATCTGTATTTTGATGACAACAAATTGGAAGTGAAGTATTGAACTTTTAAGAATTTAAACACATTAAATACCACCATCTGTTTACGGTTCTTTGCGATCTGCTAGGGTCTTTCAGTATTATATTGGTTAGAGAATCGAAGTGGGAGGAAAATTTTTGAGCTCGATGAGAAGGAGAATTTTGCTGCAATTAAGGTTTGAAAATGATTGGCACCGATGTTATGCTGGATTTTCTTTTTTGGTGGGGTGGGTTAGGGAATATAAAAGGGAAGCTGGATTTGAGATGGCGAATGCTGTTGGAAAAGTCCTTAGTGAAGCTAATTAGAAGCAATTATTGTTGATAGGATGTGCTATTGGGAGTTGGAAAGAGGCTTGGTGTAAGGGCATATATCTAACTGTGTAAAATCATTATGTGCTTTTGTAGCCAGCATTATAGGCCGACTCATTTGGTATCATAACTTTCGTAACTGAAGTTGTTTATTGTGAAAATATATTTTTGTCATAGTTATGTTCTCATGTTGTGGAGCAGTTGACCTAGGTTCTTTTCGTACATCTTAGTTTAAAGCTTTCAACCAGTCTAAAATTGGGTTTTTTCTTGGTGTCTGAGGCTTCAATCCCACTGATAACTTTTCCAGATTTTTGACTCCTTAATCTAGGTGCCCAACTAAGCTTTATTTTTGTATCAGTTCGTTAAGAATTGTAAAGAGGTTGTTACTTCCAATTAAGTTAACTTGGACAGCATTGGCTGTTGTCATGCCAATGCGACACATCATATGTGTTTTTTCTGTACCTTATGGTTGGTTAAAGATGCCAGGTAGACCTAGGAGACCTCTGACACTTATGATGACTTCTCAGGGCCAGGGATGGGTAGACAATTGATGAGAGGTGAGTGAATAGTTACAACTAACAGGCTTACCCATTTTTTGTAGACCGCTGAGGTATTCATTAACGAGAGAGAAAGGGTTTTGCCTGCACTGGTGGCTGGTAGATTCTTGGGCTCATTAATCAATTTAAATTTATGAAGTTTCTTTTCCTTCTCAAAGAAGCTTGACTTCTTTCTGCCTTCACCTTGTTATGACCTTTATATTTGTTTTTTTACTCAGATGATTTTGTGTTATCTTTTTTCCTTTTTGGGAAGGGTTTTTAACAAATAATTTGGGTTTCATTTATGATTTTCTCTTTTTCTTTGGGCACCTAAGTTCTTTGTCAGGTTGTGCAGATAATTCTGATTCAAATAGGTGGAAAAGTTGGAGCCCCTAAAGCCTTAGTGTTGACAAATGCTAGAAAGGTGGGCGTGATGTAGGAAAGCATTTGCATTGTTTCTTTTCAAGGAAAACTTTCAGTCTTGATTTGTGGTGTTGTGAGCTATTTATGCTATGCCTTAACGAAGTAGATACTGAAAGAATTAACGTAATGGAGCTGACTAAAACAGTTGATAAAGAACTGTTGAGGTGGTGGCTTTTTATTGTTGTCTTGGTAAGGAAGTGCTATACCCAGTCTCTCTTGTACAACATAAAGTTTCAATGATTCTATTTCTCTTAATAACATACAAGGTCAAAAAGAATACCTTTTTTTGGAGATTTATATACGTGGTTAAGTAAAGGGGAAGAATGGAAGTATGAAGCTGTTGATAATCTAATTGAAAAAATGTTCTAAAAGAATGGGCTATGTTGTGATATTGGATGAAACCTTTATTCAAGTCAAATGCAAGCGGGTTGATTTATTCTGGGTTGTATGATCTGGTTAGGTACACTGCCTTCCTCTCTGCATCTTACCTTTGACTTATTTCTTTGGGAAAATGTTCTTCTTGATTCCCTTTCCTTCTTCTGTAAGCTTCTCAATGGCAAGCATCTCCAAGCTTTGCCCACGCAAAAAAGTGAATAAAATGTTGTGGAAGTCTTGTATTTGGAGATAAATGTATGTAATTGATTCCCCAAGTTAAATCACCTGTCAACTTTTTCAGATAGTTAAGCGTGGCATCATCTAAGAAAGCTATATATAATAAATCTTGCTTGTGTAATTTTGTGCTCTTGGGAATTTGCATTATTGCATAGGAGATGGTATTGATCATGTGGTCAGTTCATACGCCTCAACTTGTTTTTTCAGGTCACTTGCTGTCTTACAAGGGCACATATAGTTCCCTTTTCTTCTTCAGTTTGTTTATTCATTTACATTGTTCGGACCTTTTGTTTTTTTTTAATGGTATTAAATAGCTTATGCTTTTAGTTCGCCTCCACTTTCTTGCAATGTTACGATAGCATGCTCTTTTTTGGGACTTCAGATATTCTTTTTGGGGCCCATTTATATATGTACATATTGCTTCAATGTTTTTGGGGTTGCTTTTTTTCTTTTTTGTTTTTTTTTATTTCGATTTGTAAAGTTGCTATACATTCATGGCTTTTTTGGATTGTTTTGGTGANCTTTTTTTTTGTTCATTATCTAAATTCTTATTGTTAATTTTTTTGTGTATATTTACCTTTTTTGTGATAATCAGATTGGATTGGGCATCTGAAAATTAATGAATTCGGACACGGATTAAATTTTAAAAATTCGTCGGATAATTGAATTGGATCGAATGAACAAAAATTTAATGAAATTCAAATTCTAATATACGACAATCCGACTCATAACCAATCCGTTGATAGGCCTAATAATGAATGAGCCATAAACCATAGCCCATGACCTTATCCTCTTTAATCAAATTCGAATTCGGATATTTGACAATTCGGTTCATAACCAATCCGTTGATAGTGTAATAATGGGTCATAAACCATTTCCCATGACCTCATCGTCTAGTGGGTTAATGGGCCAACCGGTGGATCACGACCATTTGCCTATCCTTACCGTAGTCCTTTTGGGGGTCAAATGTGGCCATTTTAGTCAATTTATAAATATAATCGTAAACCTTAGACTTTGGATCTTAGAAATTAAAAAAAACAATCCCCAAACGCGATCCAGAGCGTCTCCGATATCTTCCCTCTCTCTCTCTCTCTCTCTCTCTCTCTCTCTCTCCGAGCACACTTCAAACACTTTCCGAACACACTCAGATCCACCGTGCTCTTCCACTGATCCACCCACTCTCAACCGCCACAATCGACCACCAAACCACCTACTTTGATGCTCCTCCGCCATTGTGAATAATCCTTCTTCTCGGTCCAGATCTAGTCGAGCATCCACCGCCGGGAATGGCTTCTTCGGAAGCTGATTCCCGTTTGAATCAAGTACTCATCCCCGCCCTCGACAAGATCATCAAGAATGGCTCATGGCGCAAACACTCCAAGCTCGTCCACCAAGCAAAATCGGTTCTTGAAAGATTAAACTCGCCGGAAAAGCCACAGACTCCGATTTCGCCGGACCAATCGGAACTCGACACCTCATCACTTCCCGGCGTACTCGGACCCTCCGACATCTCTCTTGCTGACTCTGAATTCATCCTCACCCCTTTCATCAACGCCTGCTCCTCTAACAACCTCAAGATCGCCGAACCCGCCCTCGATGCCATCCAAAAGCTAATCGCCCACGGCTATCTCCACGGCGAAGCTGATCCCACTGGTGGCCCCGAGGCCCAATTCCTCTCCAAATTGATCGAATCTGTGTGTAAATGCCAAGAATTGAATGATGAAGCCGTTGAATTGTTACTCCTCAAGACGATTTTATCCGCGGTAACCTCCGTTTCTTTACGGATTCACGGAGATTGTTTACTGCAAATTGTGAGGACTGGCTATGATATTTATCTAGCCAGTAAAAACGTGGTGAATCAGACCACAGCGAAGGCGTCGTTGATCCAAATGTTGGTAATTGTTTTTCGGAGAATGGAGGCTGATTCCTCTACTGTGCCAGTACAGCCGATAGTGGTGGCGGAGCTAATGGAGCCAACTGAGAAGGCTGAAGTGGACGGTAACATGACTGTGTTTGTTCAGGGGTTCATTTCCAAGATTATTCAGGATATTGATGGAGTTATTAACCCGAGTACACCGCGAAAAGGGTTGGAACATGATGGGGCTTTTGAGACAATGACGAGAAGTGGGACTGTGGAGAGTACAAATCCGGCGGATTTATTGGATTCAACGGATAAAGATATGTTGGACGCAAAGTACTGGGAGATCAGTATGTATAAGACGGCGTTGGAGGGTAGAAAAGGGGAATTGGCAGACGGGGAGATGGAGAGGGATGAGGATTTGGAGGTTCAGATTGGGAATAAGTTAAGAAGGGATGCTTTTTTGGTGTTTCGGGCGCTGTGCAAATTGTCGATGAAGACACCTCCCAAAGAGGCGTTGGCTGATCCTCAACTGATGAGGGGAAAGATTGTGGCTTTAGAATTGCTCAAGATTTTGTTGGAGAATGCCGGGGCAGTCTTTAGGACAAGCGAGAGGTACTTCATTTATACTTAAATTGTGTACCATGAGCTACATTTGCTAAATGGTGCTACTTTGTGTAGATTTTATTAGTTGGTTGGTTGTTTATGCTCATTATGCAAGTATGCAGCAATTTTTGTTTCATAATTGTGTGTCACCGTAGTTTTGAGGTACAGCTTCTGGATGGTGCTACTTTGTGGAAGTTTTATCAGTTATTTGCTCGTTTATACTCACTATGCAAGTATGTACTAATTTGGGTTTCTTTTTGTAAAAGGTATGGGAATTTCCTTTGGCAGACTAGCTAGGATTGTCTAGGACAAAATTCCTTGCTTGGTGCGCTTTACTGTCTGTCCTTATTTTAATGACGAATACTAAATCTATACATCTGATATGTGAAGAATTCTTTATCCACTATTATTGGACAAATTGGCTTGTATGGCAGAACTTGATTTATCTGTGAAAGGATATGTAGATACTATTGTGAGGTTCGACTAACCTTGTCATGGTTGAGAGTTTTCAAGAATTTAAGTTTCGGATATGTTTTATACATCTGTATTTTGATGACAACAAATTGGAAGTGAAGTATTGAACTTTTAAGAATTTAAACACATTAAATACCACCATCTGTTTACGGTTCTTTGCGATCTGCTAGGGTCTTTCAGTATTATATTGGTTAGAGAATCGAAGTGGGGGGAAAATTTTTGAGCTCGATGAGAAGGAGAATTTTGCTGCAATTAAGGTTTGAAAATGATTGGCACCGATGTTATGCTGGATTTTCTTTTTTGGTGGGGTGGGTTAGGGAATATAAAAGGGAAGCTGGATTTGAGATGGCGAATGCTGTTGGAAAAGTCCTTAGTGAAGCTAATTAGAAGCAATTATTGTTGATAGGATGTGCTATTGGGAGTTGGAAAGAGGCTTGGTGTAAGGGCATATATCTAACTGTGTAAAATCATTATGTGCTTTTGTAGCCAGCATTATAGGCCGACTCATTTGGTATCATAACTTTCGTAACTGAAGTTGTTTATTGTGAAAATATATTTTTGTCATAGTTATGTTCTCATGTTGTGGAGCAGTTGACCTAGGTTCTTTTCGTACATCTTAGTTTAAAGCTTTCAACCAGTCTAAAATTGGGTTTTTTCTTGGTGTCTGAGGCTTCAATCCCACTGATAACTTTTCCAGATTTTTGACTCCTTAATCTAGGTGCCCAACTAAGCTTTATTTTTGTATCAGTTCGTTAAGAATTGTAAAGAGGTTGTTACTTCCAATTAAGTTAACTTGGACAGCATTGGCTGTTGTCATGCCAATGCGACACATCATATGTGTTTTTTCTGTACCTTATGGTTGGTTAAAGATGCCAGGTAGACCTAGGAGACCTCTGACACTTATGATGACTTCTCAGGGCCAGGGATGGGTAGACAATTGATGAGAGGTGAGTGAATAGTTACAACTAACAGGCTTACCCATTTTTTGTAGACCGCTGAGGTATTCATTAACGAGAGAGAAAGGGTTTTGCCTGCACTGGTGGCTGGTAGATTCTTGGGCTCATTAATCAATTTAAATTTATGAAGTTTCTTTTCCTTCTCAAAGAAGCTTGACTTCTTTCTGCCTTCACCTTGTTATGACCTTTATATTTGTTTTTTTACTCAGATGATTTTGTGTTATCTTTTTTCCTTTTTGGGAAGGGTTTTTAACAAATAATGTGGGTTTCATTTATGATTTTCTCTTTTTCTTTGGGCACCTAAGTTCTTTGTCAGGTTGTGCAGATAATTCTGATTCAAATAGGTGGAAAAGTTGGAGCCCCTAAAGCCTTAGTGTTGACAAATGCTAGAAAGGTGGGCGTGATGTAGGAAAGCATTTGCATTGTTTCTTTTCAAGGAAAACTTTCAGTCTTGATTTGTGGTGTTGTGAGCTATTTATGCTATGCCTTAACGAAGTAGATACTGAAAGAATTAACGTAATGGAGCTGACTAAAACAGTTGATAAAGAACTGTTGAGGTGGTGGTTTTTTATTGTTGTCTTGGTAAGGAAGTGCTATACCCAGTCTCTCTTGTACAACATAAAGTTTCAATGATTCTATTTCTCTTAATAACATACAAGGTCAAAAAGAATACCTTTTTTTGGAGATTTATATACGTGGTTAAGTAAAGGGGAAGAATGGAAGTATGAAGCTGTTGATAATCTAATTGAAAAAATGTTCTAAAAGAATGGGCTATGTTGTGATATTGGATGAAACCTTTATTCAAGTCAAATGCAAGCGGGTTGATTTATTCTGGGTTGTATGATCTGGTTAGGTACACTGCCTTCCTCTCTGCATCTTACCTTTGACTTATTTCTTTGGGAAAATGTTCTTCTTGATTCCCTTTCCTTCTTCTGTAAGCTTCTCAATGGCAAGCATCTCCAAGCTTTGCCCACGCAAAAAAGTGAATAAAATGTTGTGGAAGTCTTGTATTTGGAGATAAATGTATGTAATTGATTCCCCAAGTTAAATCACCTGTCAACTTTTTCAGATAGTTAAGCGTGGCATCATCTAAGAAAGCTATATATAATAAATCTTGCTTGTGTAATTTTGTGCTCTTGGGAATTTGCATTATTGCATAGGAGATGGTATTGATCATGTGGTCAGTTCATACGCCTCAACTTGTTTTTTCAGGTCACTTGCTGTCTTACAAGGGCACATATAGTTCCCTTTTCTTCTTCAGTTTGTTTATTCATTTACATTGTTCGGACCTTTTGTTTTTTTTTAATGGTATTAAATAGCTTATGCTTTTAGTTCGCCTCCACTTTCTTGCAATGTTACGATAGCATGCTCTTTTTTGGGACTTCAGATATTCTTTTTGGGGCCCATTTATATATGTACATATTGCTTCAATGTTTTTGGGGTTGCTTTTTTTCTTTTTTGTTTTTTTTTATTTCGATTTGTAAAGTTGCTATACATTCATGGCTTTTTTGGATTGTTTTGGTGAACAGATTTATAGGTGCCATTAAGCAGTACTTGTGTCTATCATTGTTGAAGAACAGTGCGTCGACCCTTCTGATTGTGTTTCAGCTTTCTTGCTCAATATTCATTAGTCTGGTTTCAAGATTTAGAGCTGGACTGAAGGCAGAGATTGGAGTATTTTTCCCTATGATAGTTCTGAGAGTTTTGGAGAATGTTGCTCAGCCTAATTTTCAGCAAAAGATGATAGTGCTTCGGTTTCTTGAGAAGCTTAGTGTTGATTCACAGATTTTGGTAGACATATTTATTAACTATGACTGTGATGTCAATTCATCAAACATATTTGAGAGGTATGTTCTATTCCATGCTTTGTAGTTTGGAACTTCAGATTTGGTTATTACTTAAAAGAAGCAGTGGTTAATATGGAAGCAGTTCTAATTGGGGTGTTGTCTGTTGATTCTCTTAAGGTTACACTATGATTTAGTTTGAATTTGATCTTATGTGTTTGTGCACTTTTGTTTGATTGTTGTTTTACAGAATGGTCAATGGCCTTCTTAAAACTGCTCAAGGTGTCCCACCTGGTGTTGCCACTACATTGGTGCCACCACAGGATGCAACCATGAAACTCGAAGCTATGAAGTGTTTGGTAGCTATTTTGAAATCAATGGGAGATTGGATGAACAAACAATTGCGCATTCCAGTTCCTCATTTTACAAAGAAATCCGAGGCAGCTGAAAACAGTTCTGAATCTGGAAGTCTTCCCATGGTGAATGGGAATGGTGACGATCCTGTTGAAGGATCAGATTCTCAATCTGAAGCCTCCAGTGAAGTTTCTGATGTTTCAACAATCGAACAGCGTCGGGCTTACAAGCTTGAACTTCAGGTAATAAGAAGTATAAATTTGCTGAACGAAAGAAGTCAAGCAGTTACTTCTGACCTTCTTTCAGCTTGCTATTGCCTTTGGAATCTAATGTAAAATTCATGACAGGAAGGTATATCTCTCTTTAACCGGAAGCCTAAAAAGGGTATAGAATTCCTAATTAGTGCAAATAAGGTGGGGAACTCACCAGAGGAGATAGCAGCTTTTCTTAAAAATGCATCTGATTTGAACAAGACTTTGATTGGTGATTATCTGGGGGAAAGGGAAGAGTTATCGCTGAAAGTGATGCATGCGTATGTGGATTCTTTTGAATTTCATGGCATGGAGTTTGATGAGGCAATTAGGGCCTTTCTACAAGGGTTTAGGCTGCCTGGTGAGGCACAGAAGATTGACCGTATTATGGAAAAGTTTGCTGAACGTTACTGCAAGTGTAATCCGAAGGTTTTCACCAGTGCTGACACAGCCTATGTCCTTGCTTACTCTGTGATAATGCTCAACACTGATGCTCATAACCCAACGGTTAAGAGCAAGGTATATTCACTAAGTTAATTAGAAATGACTGGATGCCTAAGGCAAGAATTATGATAAATTTTTGCTCAAATTTTGTCATTTAATTTTGCAGATGTCTGCAGATGATTTTATAAGAAACAATCGTGGCATAGATGATGGAAAAGATTTACCTGATGAGTACTTGAGATCATTGTTTGAACGAATATCCAGAAATGAAATAAAAATGAAAGAAGATGATTTCGCTCCTCAGCAGAAGCTGTCTGTAAACTCAAACAGAATTTTAGGGTTAGACAGCATACTAAATATTGTGATACGCAAGCGTGGGGAAGAAAATCTTATGGGGACGAGTGATGATCTCATGAAGCATATGCAAGAACAATTTAAAGAAAAAGCTCGCAAATCTGAGTAAGATTTTCTGCTCGAAATATCCAAGTATTTCACATGGTTTTAGTTATCATTGAGTTCTTATATGCCTTAAACTACAACTGTCTGAACTCAACCCAACTACATAGAAAAAGGGCAATACATATTCCATCTTCCATTTTACTCTACTTGTTCCCCTAGGAGATGGTAAATGAATCATAACACTTTAGNCTTACCCAACTACATAGAAAATGGGCAATACATATTCCATCTTCCATTTTACTCTACTTGTTCCCCTAGGAGATGGTANCCCAACTACATAGAAAAAGGGCAATACATATTCCATCTTCCATTTTACTCTACTTGTTCCCCTAGGAGATGGTAAATGAATCATAACACTTTAGTTCTTTTCCCACTATACCATTATCTCGACTTTTACTCTTCCTTTAATCATTCCATTGGAGGAAGTTCACTCTTTGCTACTGGGGTGATTTATCTCTTCTTCCCCATGAAAGATTGCACAATAGTGATATATGAGTAATAAGATCATTCTTTCACATTGTTCACTAGAATGGACCATAGAGATTTGGTTCGAGTTGAAGGTGCTATGATGTGATAGAATCCAAAAGGACACAAGTTCGCCCTGAAAAATATACCATTGCTGAGAATTATCTGTAGTCTATGGTTAGAAATAGGAGTCAGACTCATCAAACTGAGAAAAGGCCTTCAGTGGGATGAATATTTAGTAACATTGATATGGGGCAAGAGAATTAGTTGCCTTCAATAATTTTTTGACCGAGTGTTCCTCTCCCCCTCTTCTTGTTAACTGAGGCATTTCCTCAATTGAAAAATAACCACCATCTAGATATTCTTGATGTTAATTCGCACTGGCCGTGTGTAGGTCAGTTTATTATGCAGCAACCGACGTGGTGATCCTTAGATTCATGATAGAGGTATGCTGGGCACCTATGTTGGCAGCCTTCAGTGTTCCTCTTGACCAAAGTGATGATGAGGTAGTGATAGCTCAATGTCTGGAAGGCTTCCATCATGCGATCCATGTTACTGCAGTAATGTCCATGAAGACTCATAGAGATGCTTTTGTGACATCATTAGCGAAGTTCACTTGCCTCCACTCACCTGCTGATATCAGACAGAAAAACATAGATGCCATCAAGGTTGGTATACCTTCTCAATGTACTTGACTTATTCCGGTTTTAATTACTGTGAGTCCTTTTGAAATGTTAATACAGACTTATTTTGGTGGTTGACAAGTTGTGAAGGGTGAGGCTAATTGCTTCCCACACGGACTAAGTATAGATAAAGTCACTTCAATTGGTTGTTTTCTCATATTTTTTGTAAACAGCCAAAGTTTCACCTTTTATTAAACCCACACTCCAAATATTTATATATATTGTGTGTGCGTATGTGTATTATCTTTGGTTGAATTAAAACATAGGCATGCTTGGTCTCAAGTTTCATGATCTTTGTTGTAACCTTCTCATGTGAACTTCACTTTCACCTTAATGTGAATTGTGCGATGAGGTGGTTTCCTTGATGAATGAAATGTGTAATCGGAAACTTCCAGAGTAAGCTGAAGAGAGGGGATTCTTGTTTGTGTTTCTGCTCAGTGATTGTTGCTAAGTTGCCAATTACAACTATTGATCATTCACTGATAAAGCTTAATCACATTCACACTTACACTGGCTAATAACTTGTAGAAGCGTCTCTTGTTATGTCTGATAATAGCATCTGCTTGACAATGAATGAACTAATATGCGTTGGAAAAATCACCCCTGCAGACCATGATGACACAGAAGCCTTGTTTCTGTATTGTCTGGTCAATTAGAGCTTTATAGAAAATGTTGAATTTTCATACAGGTACACCATTTTTTTAGCCAAACTTTCTTTAATTAGGTAAGTCTTGAACTCTGAACAAATGGCTGTTTGCTTATGGAGTGGCATTTTCAGTCAGGAATTTCTTTGTTCTACAGGCAATTGTTACAATTGCAGATGAAGATGGGAATTACTTACAGGAGGCCTGGGAGCATATTTTAACCTGTGTTTCTCGATTTGAGCATTTGCATCTCCTGGGAGAGGGTGCTCCTCCAGATGCCACTTTCTTTGCAATTAATCAGAATGAAGTCGACAAATCAAAACAAGCTAAGTCGAATATGTTACCTGCTCTTAAAAAGAAGGGACCTGGGAGGATTCAGTATGCAGCTGCAGCTATGAGAAGGGGCTCATATGATAGTGCTGGTGTTGGTGGCAATGCTTCTGCTGGGATTACATCTGAGCAGATGAACAATTTAGTCTCTAACTTAAATATGTTGGAACAAGTTGGTGAAATGAATCGCATATTCACACGGAGTCAAAAATTAAACAGTGAGGCAATAGTTGACTTCGTAAAGTCTCTCTGCAAGGTGTCTATGGAAGAATTGCGATCTACATCTGATCCTCGGGTTTTTAGCCTTACAAAGATAGTCGAGATTGCGTATGAATCTTCATCCTTTATATAATTCCTTTGTTTATTTTGTTATAATTTATGTCATTTTGATATTTATGTTAACATTTTTGTACAAATCTATATGATGTGTTTCATCTTGAACAGGCACTATAACATGAACCGCATCAGGTTTGTTTGGTCAAAGATTTGGCACGTGCTCTCTGATTTTTTTGTGACCATTGGCTGTTCTGAAAACCTTTCGATTGCAATTTTTGCAATGGATTCTCTGCGTCAATTGTCAATGAAATTTTTGGAGCGGGAAGAGTTGGCCAATTATAACTTTCAGAATGAGTTTATGAAGCCTTTTGTAATCGTTATGCGAAAGAGTAGTGCTGTTGAAATTAGAGAATTGATCATCAGATGTGTATCTCAAATGGTTTTATCTCGTGTTAATAATGTAAAGTCAGGATGGAAAAGCATGTTCATGGTATGAATTCTGTGCATTCTTCTGTCCCTTAATTTATTGTGTCATTTGGTTGACTGAAACTTTCTTCATTTGTTTTGTTTGTTATACTGACTATGAATTTATTTCGCTAACTCATTTTGCTGAATACGTTGTCATTAAGTTTTATTACGTTCTGAACATTTTCAGGTCTTCACAACGGCAGCTTATGATGATCACAAAAACATTGTTCTTCTGGCTTTTGAAATAATAGAGAAGATTGTGCGAGACTACTTCCCGTATATTACTGAGACTGAAACCACTACGTTTACAGACTGTGTAAATTGTCTGATTGCATTCACTAATAGTAGATTCAACAAAGACATCAGTCTCAATGCTATTGGTTTCCTTCGTTTCTGTGCGACCAAACTTGCTGAAGGAGATCTAGGATCCTCAAGGAATAAGGACAAGGAAACTTCTGGAAAGATTCCTCCATCTTCACTCCAGAAAGGGAAAGATAGAAGATATGACAATGGAGAGCTCCCAGATAAGGAAGATCATCTCTATTTCTGGTTCCCTCTGTTGGCTGGTAAGGAAAGTTTGTAGTAGGTGTAAACAAGTGTACAAAGAGTATTTGGGAGGCAGTCAAGTTTTCAAACTCTATTGTATTTTTCCTATTTTCAGGGTTATTCTTCTTTCAGCATGCATATGGTTACCACATAACAAGTAATAAATATTTTCTTTGCTTTTATGCAGGATTATCTGAACTTAGCTTTGACCCAAGACTTGAAATCAGAAAGAGTGCCCTACAAGTACTGTTTGATACATTGCGCAACCATGGTCATCATTTCTCTCTGCCATTGTGGGAAAGGGTGTTTGAATCAGTCCTATTTCCGATCTTTGACTATGTTCGGCATGCAATTGATCCTTCTGGTGAAAACTCAGCCGAACAGGGGATTGATGGAGATACAGGTGAGCTTGATCAAGACTCATGGCTTTACGAGACGTGTACACTGGTCCTCCAACTGGTTGTAGATATTTTTGTGAAATTTTATGACACTGTCAATCCACTTTTGAAAAAAGTGCTGATGTTATTGGTAAGTTTTATCAAGCGTCCTCACCAAAGTCTTGCTGGNGTACACTGGTCCTCCAACTGGTTGTAGATATTTTTGTGAAATTTTATGACACTGTCAATCCACTTTTGAACAAAGTGCTGATGTTATTGGTAAGTTTTATCAAGCGTCCTCACCAAAGTCTTGCTGGTATTGGTATTGCTGCATTTGTCCGTTTGATGAGCAATGCTGGAGAACTATTTTCGGATGATAAATGGCTGGAAGTGGTTTTGACTATAAAAGCAGCAGCTAATGCTACGCTTCCTGATTTCTCATTTACTCTTAACGAAGAAAGTAAGATGCGGAGCCATGAAGAAGATTCTATTAGACACAGTAACGGAGAATCTGCAGAGTCTAGTGTGCCTGATGATGATTCAGAGAACCTGAGAAGACAACATCTCTACACTGCTATCTCTGATGCTAAGTGCCGAGCTGCCGTTCAACTTCTGTTGGTTCAGGTATATACATTTTTATCGAGTGTTGAATGCCAGTGACACTTTCTTCATATGATGTATTTCTAGCTATATCTGTGACAAAAGCTCAGTTAGCCTCTAAATAGGTTGATTGTATTGTGATCATATGCTCTTGTAAACCGAGACAGAGGTGTTACATGCTGCAGGAACTAGATCTCTTGTAGTAGTAGTAGGCATATGGTGCTAGGTGTTTTGGACTGTTGATGTCTTTACATCTGTAGTGTTATGAAAAAATGCCGATATGATGCTCTGGAATAACAGTCTAATGCATGGGCCAAGAGAAACTTTACCGTGGGACAGAAACTTCCTATTAACCATTCCTCTTCCATTTGGCCAACAGGAACAATTCTCCTTGCAGTTTATATTCTTTGGAAGTAATTGATTGCTTAACTGTTTAGAATACTTTGTATAAAGGGCATAATCGAGATTCTAGTATCTGTGTGTTGGTTGTAAACGCCAACTTGTCAAACATTTTAGATAAATTACAATTCAACTCAACTTAACGAGGCCTTGCCCAAAATTTTTAAGGTTAGCTATATGGATCCTATTCTGCCATTATGTTCTATTAAGAGTCATACTTTTTATTTGCTAAGTTTATAGATGTAAGGGTGAAACAATTGTGGAGAAACTGTGAGAGGTGAGGAGAGAAAAGTGTAACCCTACCTCTCACTGTCAACATATATTTATATGTACCTTCATAATAATCATAAAAGATGGGTATATCGTATACCCATACATGGATACACTTATTACAATATATAAAGTAAGCAATTACTCTAATAATCTTGACACTCCCCGTCAAACTGGAGTATATATATCGCATAACCCAAGCTTGGAACAAATGGTTGACAGACAGGTACGACTTAATGCTTTGGTAAACATATGTGCGAATTAATCCTTATACTTTACCATTGGTGTTGTAGACTTGTAGGGATTGTTTGTTTAGCGGTATAATGATAGGAAATGAAAGCAAGAGAAAATTTTAAAATTTTTCATGTCTTTGGTACTTTTGTTTGCATGAAATGGAAAATGATGGAACAAATTTTTTTCTTTCATATTTAGATTTTATCACAATTAATCGAATTTTTTTTTCTTGCAAAAAAAAACATAAGGAAACACAAGAAAGTTGTAACTATAATCTAAAGTTCCATTTTATCCTTATGTTCCTTAAAATATTAAAGTGGTTATTAATTTTGAAAAAGCTTGGTATGGGCTAGTTTAAGTATATATACATGAGTTCGGGCTGATCCCTGCCCCTTTTTTAAAATCACTTTTAAAAATTTTTGTGACTTTTAATTATAATACATGTTTTTTTTTTCTTTGGACCGATTTAATATAATTAAGGGTAAATATACAATTGAAAAAAAATTCTGGTAACGTTTGTTTTTTCATGCTAATCAAATATATGTATGAAAATATATTTTCTTTTATTTTTTTTCTTTTACTTCACTTTCTCCACATTTACCTTTCATCTGTGCTGTTGATTATCACAATACAATTGTATAGGAAATTAAGCTGGGAAACCGATTTCCTAAAAAGTATTGCAATCATGTTAAAACTCTAAGTAGTTTGCTAAGCATCATCAATGTGTATCTTTTTCATGTCGAATTAATAATCGTGTCTCTAGTCTCTTTGAGTTGATTCATTCAGATATGTAGGACCCATTAAAAACATTTCATCCAATAAATTTTCATATTTCATGACATTTATGAATGATTATTCTTGTATGACATAGTTATTTGTTTACAAAAAAGTCGCTCTCATACCATGTTAAGTTCAAAGATTTAAGAGAAAATTGTGACTCTACCTCTCACTTACTCATGCTTATATGTATACAATAATTATAAAAGACGGGTATACCTATACATGGGTACACTTATTACAATATAAGAAAGCATTAACACTAATATTCTCAACATTGCTAAACCAGAAGTTATCATATTGTTGTTTACTATTTTATTTGAAATTAATTTTATTCTCTCTCTGCCCATTTGATTATCGGCAATAACTATCACATCACATTTTCTTATCGGTATTGTAGTAGGCCGCCTATAAATATGTCCAAACTACTTAAGTCGATCCTCTTTTATTTTATTTCCTATATGTGCTACCCAATATTTTCACGGATATTTTCATTTCTAANTGTTGTAGTAGGCCGCCTATAAATATGTCCAAACTACTTAAGTCGATCCTCTCTTATTTTATTTCCTATATGTGCTACCCAATATTTTCACGGATATTTTCATTTCTAAATTTAGTTTTTCTAGTTTATCGCATATCCATCTTAACATTCTTATTTCCACCACACTCAATTTTTGAACGTGTTGTTTTTTAGTTGCCCAATACTCAGTACTATAGAGCATAAGAGGTCTTATGACCATTCTATATAAATTGCCTTTTAGCTCAAAGGGTATACGTCTATCACATAAGACACCAGATGCATTCCTTTATTTTGTCAATCTTAATTTAATTCTATGAGAAAAATCGTAACCAATTTCACACTATGGATAACTGATCCCAAATATAGAAAGTATTCACTTTTCAGTATATCTTGATCTTCAATTTTTACTAAACATTTTAGGTAAAATGAATATTTATATTCTACTTGGGGGTTAGTGGGTAAATTTGACTGTTAGAAAAGTCTTTCAGGAAATGGTTGTATTTAGTGCACAAGACTTTCACCTAGGGAGGTAAGTGATTGGTTGCCTTACCCCCATTTTGGAGTGGAGCAAAGAGACAGAATGTTTGGTGTTGTCATATTAATTTTAGACCAAGTTTATGGTGTGCAATTTTTGAGTAGTGTAGAATGATGCAGTTGAGATTTATGGCCAAAAGATGCTTAACAGTGACCTTGCATTAAATTGAGCTATACGCTATTATAGTCTCATAAGATGGAGCAGTGATTTCGCAGAACCTCACTCTTAAGAAATAAAGCATGATGAAATGAAGTGGAGTAGTATGTGGCACCACTGCCAGAACCTCATGTAAATTCGAAGTTACTGTTTCTAAGAGGGTTATATCATGAGTTAGGATTGACAAGGACCAGTTTGTTTGCAGTAAGGACCATCTATCAAGATGTGGATGTCTGTAGTCTGTACTAGAATGTTGAGATTGATGTGTCTCAAGATAAGGAGAGTAGTGGACTAAATCGATGAGAATGTGGAGGCAAGCACCTGGTATAGATTCGATGATAGAAAATAAGCTTGATGGTTTGTGAATGTGCAATATTGGTCATGACACTCCAACACATGGCGACTCTCTCACTGATACTTGACTGGTGCGCCAGTGACTCATTTTCCCATAAAAATTGTCTACCATTCTTGTAGCTCTCCCTATCTTATCCCACCATCCTACACATTCGACCTTGTTAGGAGCCTTGCGCTCACCTACTAACTGTTTAGACGAAGGGTATAGACTAGTCTTAATGTACGAGCATAAAAACAAGTACTAGGACATGCCCTGTACTTGTTACAATTCTGTCGAGGCATAGTAGTAAGTTCGTAGTTGTGCTCTAATTCCTGAAACCCGAAGTCTAACTCAGCTTGACAATTAAGAAAGCGTAAGACAGAGTAATACATTTAGCCACCCTCCTTGGACTGCTTTGTGGCGCACCAGAGCTTGTTTTAAGCCTAGATTATCTATATCAATGCTTAACCACCATCAAAACACATGCATCTTGGATAACCTCTAGAAGTGATAACAACGAGAAGTCTGGTTCTCGAGTGGTTGAGCCACCTTAGTCAACTTACCCAATAAATAGAGTTGTGCAAGTCAATACTGTGCACACATGTGATCCAAACATGCATCTGATAATTTTTACAGGTTGCTTTTTACTCAAATGTTTATAGTTTTGGAGGCCAGCATATTTGTAATATTCACAAGCTACTGCTTGTTTTACTGATTGCATGGACCTACCATTGGAATGGATGCCAACACTCAAATACCCTTGTCTATGATATATGTATGTACAAACATACATATATCACATACATATATATGTGCCTTTGTATTCATGATAGATCTCCTCTCCATCTGTCCCCTTTTTTCTCTTAGATGAGAAAATAGATACAATTTCGCAGTTTAGACCTGATTCACTATGTTGACCATTGTAAATTTATGATTTTACCTCATTTTGGAGAACATTGGGTGTAAGCTTGCTCTTCCTAAAATTTGCAGGCAGTGATGGAAATCTACAATATGTATAGACCTCAATTTTCTGTGAGAAGCACCATAGTTCTCTTTGATGCGGTGCATGCTGTGGCGTTGCATGCTCACAAGATAAACAGTGATGCTACGTTACGTTCCAAGCTACAAGAGCTTGGGCCCATGACTCAAATGCAAGANATTTTCTGTGAGAAACACCATAGTTCTCTTTGATGCGGTGCATGCTGTGGCGTTGCATGCTCACAAGATAAACAGCGATGCTACGTTACGTTCCAAGCTACAAGAGCTTGGGCCCATGACTCAAATGCAAGACCCTCCACTGTTGCGCCTTGAGAATGAGTCTTATCAAACTTGCCTCACGTTTTTACAGAATCTTGCACTGGATAGGCCTCCAAGTTATGAAGAGTCTAAGGTGGAATCTTNGACCCTCCACTGTTGCGCCTTGAGAATGAGTCTTATCAAACTTGCCTCACGTTTTTACAGAATCTTGCACTGGATAGGCCTCCAAGTTATGAAGAGTCTAAGGTGGAATCTTATCTTATTGACCTTTGCCATGAAGTTTTACAGTTCTATATCGAAACTGCACGCTCTGGACAGATACCTGTGTCATCTCTCGGCAGGCGGCCCCACTGGTTGATTCCGTTAGGTTCTGGTAAACGGAGGGAGTTGGCTGCACGTGCACCTCTTATTGTTACAACTCTCCAGGCTATATGTAATTTGGAAGATTCTTCGTTTGAGAAGAGCTTGGCTCGTTTCTTCCCCCTACTTTCAAGCTTAATAAGTTGCGAGCATGGGTCAAACGAGGTTCAGGTAGCCCTCAGTGAAATGTTCAGCTTCTCAGTGGGTCCCATTTTGTTACGCTCATGTTGAGCTTGGCGTGAGCTGATCTCGCATTTGGAAATGTATGATATTTTTCATCCAAGTCTTGCCTTTTTTTCCTCCTCCCTTCTCCCTTGTTTTATAATAATTGTTCTTTGGAAAATTAGTTTCATAGTGTATTTTAGCAATGATTTTGATTTTCAAGTGCTTCTGAACCTTCTGTAGTATATTCAGGGGGCTTAGCTCCATTTACAATCTATAGATGTTATCAGGAATTTTGATGATGTATGTGAGTTAAGTTTTCTCTCGGTGAGTTCCAGAACAATGATACCATGAAAAAGAAGACAATTTTTTTTTATTCGGCATACAATCCTGGGATTCTCTTTGGACTACAGTTATGTAGTGCTTTTGGCATTAACAACGAATAAGGATAATTCTTCGATGCACAGGTATGCCTTTTATTGATGACCCTATAGGATGTAATATTTGGTGGAAAGTCATTTGGGTATGCCTGTGATTGTTGATGAGAAAAGAGGAACAACAAACTGATTCTTACAAATTTGTATGCTCTTCTGTGTAGGAAGATTAGGTGGAATAGAGATAATTTTTGTCATTGTCATGTCATTTTTTTGTTTTTGTTTTTGTTTTGTGGTGGTGGGGTGTGCAATGGGCTGTGGGACTCAGTTAGGTTGTTGAGCACAGATTTGTGTGTTGGAATAATGCATGTTTCTCTTAGATGCCTTATCTGATTACTTAACATTGCTAACAAAATGCAGGCATAAATGAAATCCTGATCATGTTTGCATAAATAGCAGGCCTATGTTGAGGTAATTTTTGGAATGGACCACTTTTTCTTTATGTTGTGAGGCCTTTTTTTTTTTTTTTTCTCTGAGCTTTCATTGGGTTAATTGAGATTTGTAGTATGGTTTTTTCTTCATCCGACGTATGATTTATTACCTGAAACATTTTTTGACAGACCATCTCACCTGACTCATCGACCCATGTTCTGACCGGGCTCGCTCAGGACTAGCTGATCTTTGTCCAGTTTGGTGTTTTAAAAACCGAACATATGAAAAACTCTCAAAATCATTCGGCTTATTTAGCAGGTTATTTAGGTGAAAATAATCTTTTTTTTTATAAATTTATTATACAGTTAAATTACAGAAGATGTTTAAAAAAGGATAGAGAAGGGATTGCCGTCTATAGGCTACTTTGTTCTCTCAGTCCATCAACTCATAAAACCCGAGGCATAAGAGCCATTTTACTTGAACAAAAAATATTGATAACATTTGCGCATTCTAAGCATTACTGTCATTGATTTCACTGTAGGTTTTAATATTTATTGTGATTCACGGATCATGAAATCCAACAACCTGATTGTCAAAAGAATAACGGATTAACCAATGTTTCTTCACTTAGCCGAGACCACAAAAATGAGAAACAAACAAGCTAATATTGACAATGAAATGCCGGCACTTTGCTGGTTTTACCCCCACAGTATTCCAAACCAAGACTTAGCACCACATTGCATACCTCTCCAAGTTATATGAGGAGATTGGAAATGGAAGGCTAAGGGGAACTTGGTCCTTGTGTGGGCCCTTCATGGTTTGTAGAATTATTCAAAAGTGAGAAAGGTTCTTAGATAGAGCAACAGCACATGCCAACACCACATGTATATCTCCATACGCCCATTTTCATTCCAAGCATCTAGTCATTTGTTTCCATTTTCTCCTTTTACTATAATTTAATCCTCTCTTTGACTATAACTGCAATTTGCAACGCTCTCTCTCTCTCTCTCTCTCAACTATGCCGGATTCTTTTAGAAAGTGCTTTAGCTCACTACATAAGTTTGCTAGGAAATTCATTCACCAACTCAATTCCTTGAGCAACGTTNCCACTTCTTTCTTGTTCTCTCTCTCTCTCTCAACTATGCCGGATTCTTTTAGAAAGTGCTTTAGCTCACTANCTCTCTCTCTCTCTCTCTCTCAACTATGCCGGATTCTTTTAGAAAGTGCTTTAGCTCACTACATAAGTTTGCTAGGAAATTCATTCACCAACTCAATTCCTTGAGCAACGTTAAGAGCGGGAAAAGAAAGAAACCAAAGAGGTNTACATAAGTTTGCTAGGAAATTCATTCACCAACTCAATTCCTTGAGCAACGTTAAGAGCGGGAAAAGAAAGAAACCAAAGAGGTTGTCTTCTGATTTCAGCTGTTTATCCTCCTCTTTTGCAGCTATGGAGGTGTCTAACCAACTGAGACAAGTCTTCAAATTCATCGATGCAAATGGGGACGGAAAGATATCTCCATTGGAGCTCAGTGAAGTGCTCTTCAGCCTTGGACACGACAAGTCTATGGCCACCAAGGAAGCTGAAGGAATAGTGAGAGAAATGGACTGTAATGGGGACGGGTCGATTGACTTGGATGAATTCATGAAAGTTGTAGACACTGACCATGAAGTTGGGGGTGTTGGCGATGATGACGATCTAATGGAAGCTTTTCTCATATTTGATGCTGATAAGAATGGTTTTATATCGGCTGGGGAGTTGCATCGGGTTCTGCTCAGCCTTGGATCGGAGAAATGCAGTCTTAGAGAGTGTCGCGATATGATTAACGGGGTCGACAAGGATGGAGATGGGTTCGTGGATTTTGAAGAGTTTAAAATAATGATGAGTGCCGGAAGCAGGAATTAGGCAGTGAAAGTTGTGTGTGTGCGTGCGTGTTGGGTTGGGGGGGGGGGNTGGGTTCGTGGATTTTGAAGAGTTTAAAATAATGATGAGTGCCGGATGCAGGAATTAGGCAGTGAAAGTTGTGTGTGTGCGTGCGTGTTGGGTTGGGGGGGGGGTATTCTTGTTCTGGAGTTGTACATTGAAGAACTAGTGGAGTTTGTAAGAAGTAGCAGCTTACAATTAGATGACTTTCTTCTTTGATAAGTACTCTTTGGTACGATTATTCCTAGGTTGTATAACTGAACACCCCCCCCAAACCTCCTCCTCCTCCTCCTCTGGGAGGACCCATCACGCATGTATAAGCTAAACCTGATAAAAAAGATGCATATCAAAATATTAACCCGGATACCAATCAGTTAAAACAAATAATTACCTTTTGGCTACATAAACGTATGGTTTTTGGGAATTTAAACCCTGATTTCCTCCGTAAATTCTTCAGAGAAGTCTTCATATTTATATCTTTTATTGTTGGTTGAATGACTGGTTCCGGGACTCAAATGTGTTTGGAGTCGTTAGGTAAGACATTCGGTTCACGAACTAGAGATCTATCCCTACAGCAAACTCCTCAATTTGACCTGGTCTGTCACGCTTCGGGCTTCACTTTCTTCTTCTCTTTCCNACGAACTAGAGATCTATCCCTACAGCAAACTCCTCAATTTGACCTGGTCTGTCACGCTTCGGGCTTCACTTTCTTCTTCTCTTTCCTTTCCCCTCAGTTATGACCTTCTTTGGAGCCATTCCATGCTGTTAAGGTGGAGAAATACCAAATCCGAGACAGATTAAACATAGAACATTTGTCACAAATTTTGGGAGGTGTCAAATGCAATATTTTTCTAATTTGTTATCTGCAACTAATTCAAGGCAAAATAATAGTTTGTTCTGAGGCTACTTGGAATCCATGCCTCCCTATCTTCCTCACTGATTAATATCTGGTTCGACCACATCAAGTGGATGGTTGTAGGGTTGAAGAGTTACTTGGGCTGGCTTGAATAGGACTCGACTCGAGTTCTGCTCGTGTTCTAAACGGGCTGAATTTGAATAATTTTTTAGACTNTGGCTTGAATAGGACTCGACTCGAGTTCTGCTCGTGTTCTAAACGGGCTGAATTTGAATAATTTTTTAGACTCATTTAAAAAACGATATTAAAAACTCGACTGTTTATATGCAAAATAATGGAGTTCTTTGAACTCGTCTCAGATTCGACTCGGACTCAACTTATTTTTTAAATAAGCTGAGATTGATAAATTTTTCAAGTTCTTTTAAAAAAATGAGTTCGACAGACTTGACTTGAGATCCCAAAACTCGAGTCANATGACTCGGTAAGAATCAGACAATGACTAGGAAACGTGCGAGACAAAAACGCTTCTTTCATTTTCAAATGTCCCTTTCTTAATTTGTATTATTGAATTTTCAAGTTACGGAAATTAATAGCTGAAGGTCTACTGTCTGCGTCAAATCAAATTATCTGACATTTCAAAATTAGNAACGCTTCTTTCATTTTCAAATGTCCCTTTCTTAATTTGTATTATTGAATTTTCAAGTTACGGAAATTAATAGCTGAAGGTCTACTGTCTGCGTCAAATCAAATTATCTGACATTTCAAAATTAGGGTGTAATTCAGGCGGATTGAGAATCATATATTGACCCCGAACTCAAACCAAGGTATAAAAACTTTAACTGGAGCTTGAATCCACTCTAAATTCCTCAAATTTGATTCTTGGATTGCACAAGACATGTTAGAATTTGAATTCAATTCTGGTTGAACTCGAATTTAGTAGGTTAAGTCGGGTCTCGAGAATCCTACACTACATCTTGAGTATTGTTCAATTTTTTTAATCGGGTTGAATCTATTTGCCTTGACCTAACTTATGTACAAAAATCTCTGTCAAAATAACCCCTGTTTGATTTGCATCTAACAAAAAAGTATATGTTTTTTTTTTATCATCGAAAATTATTGNCAATTCTGGTTGAACTCGAATTTAGTAGGTTAAGTCGGGTCTCGAGAATCCTACACTCCATCTTGAGTATTGTTCAATTTTTTTAATCGGGTTAAATCTATTTGCCTTGACCTAACTTATGTACAAAAATCTCTGTCAAAATAAGCCCTGTTTGATTTGCATCTAACAAAAAAGTATCTGTTTTTTTTTTTATCATCAAAAATTATTANAATCTATTTGCCTTGACCTAACTTATGTACAAAAATCTCTGTCAAAATAAGCCCTGTTTGATTTGCATCTAACAAAAAAGTATCTGTTTTTTTTTTTATCATCGAAAATTATTGTTGAAAAATGTTTTAGAAAAGTGTATTTTTTTTATTTTTCGTATTGTAGAACTTATTTGGTTATCTAATTCCAAAAACAATTCTATAGAGTAGAAAACAGAAAGACTTGTTTGGACGGAGAAAAAAAATGAAAACATAAATGTGGTGTTGTGGACGTCGTGGTGGTGGAGTTTTCTAAATTTTGGAAATGTAGCTTTTTAAAACACACAAAACAACCCTAACTTATTCTTTAAATCTATCAACATTTTGTTCTCAGTTTTCAAAAAACAAAAACAAAAAACAGTTGATCAAATAATNTAAATGTGGTGTTGTGGACGTCGTGGTGGTGGAGTTTTCTAAATTTTGGAAATGTAGTTTTTTAAAACACACAAAACAACTCTAACTTATTCTTTAAATCTATCAACATTTTGTTCTCAGTTTTCAAAAAACAAAAACAAAAAACAGTTGATCAAATAACTTTTCTCCCAAAAACTATTTCCAAAAAAAAAAATAAAAAATTCTGAAATGCAAATCGAACATGAACTAATAAGTTTTGCATATGTTCTTCTCCAAAAATGTGTTAGTTTTTGGGCCAGGTTTGCTTTTAGGGCTGCACTGCTGTTGATCCAATTTTCCCATCAACAATGAGAATTTTAAGTATCCCAAGAAGCATTATTTTTGGTCTCTCATACGATTGCCATGAGTGTTGAGTTAAAAGCTTGTGTGCCAACTCTAACCCTACTATGTCACAGCCCTACTATGTCAAGAAACTACTTTAAGTCGCAAGGGCTTACAGTCTAGTGTTTTTAGTAGTGTTGACAAGGAGATATTCAAGTCCCTTAGGCCAGTTTGGTACTTGGGTTTGGATGACATCTAGAGGGTGGGTTTTATGAAAATAATTTATGTTTTTTCTAATCTTACGTTTAGTTTGAAATTTATAGGGTAAATGAATCCTGGATCGCAATCAATAGTAGATTAAAACCCATGTATGATGGTTTGACAAAATGCATATGGGGTAGGTTTCAAAAGTGAGGGATTGAATTTATAGATCAAAAAAATTATTTTTTTATTCACCTAATAATGGATATTTTAGTTAATTAAATAAATATGATTTGATATGAATGTATGGACCCCACATGTATTTATTCCACTTATTAAACATGGGATTAAATAAGATTTATTATTTGAATCCCATTTACAAATCATTGAAATTAGATTTTAAAAGGCTTGAGTAATACAATCCAATGTCTAAAAAAAAAAACCATCCANTCCTCAATTTGACCTGGTCTGTCACGCTTCGGGCTTCACTTTCTTCTTCTCTTTCCCCTCAGTTATGACCTTCTTTGGAGCCATTCCATGCTGTTAAGGTGGAGAAATAGCAAATCCGAGACAGATTAAACATAGAACATTTGTCATAAATTTTGGGAGGTGTCAAATGCAATATTTTTCTAATTTGTTATCTGCAACTAATTCAAGGCAAAATAATAGTTTGTTCTGAGGCTACTTGGAATCCATGCATCCCTATCTTCCTCACTGATTAATATCTGGTTCGACCACATCAAGTGGATGGTTGTAGGGTTGAAGAGTTACTTGGGCTTGGCTTGAATAGGACTCGACTCGAGTTCTGCTCGTGTTCTAAACGGGCTGAATTTGAATAATTTTTTAGACTCATTTGAAAAACGATATTAAAAACTCGACTGTTTATATGCAAAATAATGGAATTCTTTGAACTCGTCTCAGATTCGACTCGGACTCAACTTATTTTTTAAAAAAGCTGAGATTGATAAATTTTTCAAGCTCTTTTAAAAAAATGAGTTCGACAGACTTGACTTGAGATCCCAAAACTCGAGTCAATTATTAACCCTAGGTATATGCATACTTGATTCTCTCTCTCACACGCACACAAACACACACCAGCCCATAGAATCAATGGTCCTCCATCTGTTGTGCAATTCTGAAGGGTTGGTGCCTGATGATTGATACGCCTTGGAAACGTAAACCTTAAAACGCCAATAAACAGCTAAAAAGATAGT